GGTGTGTGTGTGTGTGTGTGTGTGTGTGTGTGTGTGTGTGTGGCAGTGAGGGGTTGGGGGTGTTGAAGCCAGGCTTGGGGGGGGTGGTGGTGGTGGTGGCCAAGGCCGGCAGTGGTCAAGATCCCATGACATTTACCTCCTTCAGGAGGGGCCCCAGGGTGGTGAAGCTGGGCCGTTGCTCAGGGTCAGCAGCCCAGCATTGCAACGCGATCGAGTATATCTCCGAGGGGCAGTCAATGGGTTGCTCGAGGCGCTGCTTCTCCCGGTCGACCAGCGTCAGAATCTGCAGAGAGAGAGAGAGAGAGAAAAAGAGGTCACAGCATCACTGCGCCGAGCCCAGACCTCCACAGGGAGACGGTATGTGGGAAGTGTCAATGGGGGGGGGGGGTCACTAATATGTTCCCACCTTCTCCCCAAGCCCCGCGAAGCCATTAAAACCGAGAACATTTATCAGTGGCCTGGCCTCTACTGCCTCCTGTAGGAGAGAATACCACAGGCCCCCCCGACTCCCTGGTTTCTCCTCATCTCTGTCCTCTATGGCCTGCCCCATATCCTTAGGCCATGACCCCCCACCCCTGTCCCCCGGGTCTGGGCTCCCTCTGTCCTTCCTGCGTTTGGTCTGTCCACACCTGGTTGAATCTGCCTCTTCCTGTCAGTGTATACCATGTGACTCCAGGCCCACAGCAACGGGGGTTGACTCCTAATCCGCCCTCCGACATGGCCGCAGCAAGCCGCTCGGGTCAAGGGGCTAGTAGGGATGGGCGGAACAAACCCTGGGCCACGTGCAGTGGGCCAGCATTGACCCGCATGCCTGAATGGCCTGTGTGCGGCCAACATGCTCAGATCCACATGATAGCGGGCGTGTGATTGGACTGAACAGGAGGCAGAGGAGATTTACCAGGATGTTGCCCTGTTCTGGGCTAATTTACCAGGATGTTGCCTGGTCAGGAGAGATTTAGAAGCGTGGTTGCAATGCCACGTCATACAAAGCTATGGGCCAAGTGTAGGCAGTTGGGATTAGAATAGTGAGGTGCTTTTGACCAGCACAGAGTCAATGGGCCGATAGGCCTTTTACTGTCCATGTC